AAAGGAGGAATTAATAGGAGATCAGAATATGATGAGAAAAATATGCAATTGTCATTTTTAATTTTTTCTTCTAGAACAGAAAGGGTGAACATGTGAGTCTTTCCTAGTGTAAAGAACTAGGGGCTCATGCAGAATGGTATATACTATCTTCCAGCTTCCTCTTCTGAGGATGAAATTTGTCATATCATCAGACTCTGAGTACCACAATAAATAGTAGTCCCATTAAATCAGACCAGCAAAATGGAGGGAAGTTATTAATACTCATTGACCTTCTAATGTCCTGCCATCTGAAGCAAAGGTAAATAATTTGTTAGTGAAAGTGTTAAAAAAACCCACAAAACAATCAATATAATTATAGAGTTAAAATAAAGATATGTGAATGAACCACTGCTCTAGGACATTTAAGACAGTAAAACTCTCAATAAATAGGCAAAGTTGTGGTATGAAGCTGCCCTTTATGAAAGCATAGAGCAAATCATCCATTTGACTGAAAGGAGGTAGTGTATCTAAAGAGTACAAAACCATTCCCCTTGAAAGTCTATCAATATGGTCCTCACCAGGTGTTTTCCAATGCCTCTTGGACAACATAGCGTGACCCTCAGCCTTTTTTGCTCTGTAGGGCCATAAATCTGTTTTCTCTCATGCAACTTTTTAGCAATTAGGATCATGGGCAAAGTAATGCTAAATCCATTTTTACACTATTTTCTAAACTTAAGAAGAACATAAATCAGCTATTTTATGAGACTGCCCACACTGTAGAATTCCTGTGAAACTCCATCCTCCACTCCTTTGTGCACCTCAGTATATCTCAGTGCTTCTCAGCAGACTGCTCAAAGGTATAGAGTAGACTTCATAAACTCTTGACTCTAGATATACATTCAAGGGATTCTTTCCCTTTAAAATTCAAAAGAGTAACTTGAAGTGTCTTTTGACTACATTATTTTTAACCTGACAGTGCTCCATTCTGAAACACTATCCATTTCCTACTCTTCCCCCATGAAAACTGAGGCAAGTGTGTTTTTCTTATCAGTCCTTAGAATGGCTGTACATGTGTGGTAAATTTTTAATTATTCATTTTGTCTTTCTTCGGTTGCTTTAAAGAGTTAAATGTGGACTTTTCATATTACAGCATTTTAACACCTATTGGGTTTGAACAGTTTTAGTTTGTATATGATGAACTATGTGTGTATTTAAGAAAAATATAAGCCAAAAGGGTAGAAGAGTAGAGGCCAAAAAAGCAAATGTAGGCACAGAGCAGTAATGCAGAGTCAGGTATCAGAATAATTGAGGACCAGGCTTGTTGCCAGATACTGCATTAGTGAGTATTTCTCAGAGATTTCCCTTTCACTCTTTTCTTGGCTGATTGAAGTGGTCTTCCATCAGGTGTCTGAATCCAACTCAGGTTATCAATGCAGCTTCTATTCCTGCCGTTCTTTAGGAGAAAAAAGTGCCTGTAGTCCTCCCATGTCCATGAAAAAACACTCTATCTTCTTGCAGCAGCCAAAATTTGATGGACCAATGGGCAGTTTCATCAGATGCTGTGGAAATAAATTAAGCACTCAAAGGAAAAAAGATAGTGGGTTTTTCTTCCATTCTGCTTGATAATTAAGGTCCCCAAATACTTAGGTATTTTTCTTAGCGAGAGCCTGAGCTGGACTCAGAACATGTCCACCATGTAATACTTTTTAAAAGAATATTTTGTTCCAAACATTTTGATTACTATATTTTAATTAGACATTTTAGTATGCTACTCAGTAAATGTAATTTTGAGGAACTTAGGAGAATTTCAAAGAAAGGTCAGCAGTTATACAAAATATGAAAGAACCTAGATTCAGTGAACACGTATATTTATGCACACATGCATGTGGACAGAAGTCATATTACTAAATGTGGTTAACTGAGAATTGAAACTTTTTCTTAAATGCTACACATTAAATTCTGCAGCTTCAAGCTAGTTTAGGAGAATGAGAAAGTAAAATTTCTCAGAAAGAGTTCCTGTCAAGCTGAGTGAAAAGCCACCATGCATCAATAATGGCATTGTAAGAAAACAGAAGAGATTCAGCAGCAGATGCTCTCATGCCTCCCAGTCTGGCATAAAAAATATTGCTAGTGGTGTTGCATAAATCAATGTTTGTTGGAAGTACAAACAGCACAGAGATTCTTGTTACCAGTTGAACTAACCAAGTGGCTTTAAGTAAGCTCAGAAAGCATAGAGGAACCAGAACATTAAAATAGCAGGTGGAGAGTCAGTTTTTTTCACAATCCATTTCAAGTTGTTCCAGCCCACTTCCTTTCCTTATGGAAACCTTATCAGTTCCTTGCTCCTGTTCAAAATGTTTGCTGTTCATGGTTACCCCTTCTTATGTAAACTAACTTTTTTCAGAGTATACAGTAGCACATGGCTTTAGAGCTGCAGTAGTAACTGCCTACTGTACCTGCCTTGCTGTGATTTTCAAGTTGGTACTCTGATGTTCCCAAACATTAATACTGTGTCAGGGGGCAGAATTCATTATATTGTTTATGGCTTTTTTATTTGGTAGGTTGGAGGAAAGCCTGACTTTGGTTTTGGTTTTGTGTTTTTCTTGGTGTTTTTACAAATTTATTTTTTCCTATGTATTATTTTATGGCAATCCCCTAGAGTTTTATCCTTCCTCAGTTTCCCTCTTTACAGAATGAACTTTAAGATAGATAATAATGTCTTAGGTTAGTATCAACCCCAGGAGAATAAAGATGTGCTGGCTTCTTTGAGGTAAATGGAAAATAGGCAGATGAATTTGCATTACCCCGTCTGAATGAAAAAGCAGCTTATTTCCTGAATAAAAGAAGGTATAAGATTAATTTGGACTACAAAATTGGAAATAGGTTAGTTCTAAATCAAATTAACCTTGGCTGATTAATGTTTGTCTTGTAGGTATGAACAACCTAAGTGTGATAACGGCGCCAGAGCTCACCCAACCAAAACAAAGGATTTATACAAAGAACGCCAGCTTCAAGGTCAGTGAAACAGATAAATTTGGTTTCCCAAATGCATCCCAATGCTTTGTTTATTTGCTGCAATAAATTAGAAAGCAATTTCTTACCCTGTATCCAAACAGTGTGTCTTTTAGAAATTGCTATATTGATTTGCCACTGACTGAAGTCTTTGACTTGCATATGAATATGACTCTTGGGATGTTGTCAGAGAAAGTAAGGCTCATTCTTCTCAGTACTTTAAAGGCAGTCACATTTACTTACTGCAGTTATTCCTTGCTGTTGTCATACCAGAGAAGTCAGCAAATATGTCCAGAATAACTTGGCTCATACTTCATAATCCTTGTTCTAGCAGAATCCATGGGAAAATGGCCTCTATCTTAAATTCAGTCTAAACTATGTATCTACTGACTTTTTTTCCAAAAGTACCCTTGTCAGTTCACCTCAGAATAATAGTATTTCATTCTTCTCTGTTGTAGGAACAAACCTTGGTGTTTATTAGATTTTTTCAATTTTTCACACTTTTCATAAATGTGAGAGATCTTATCTCCAGATAGGTGAGCTGCACAGAAGTCAGTAGACTTGCTTCGTTTTTGATTTGGGCATAATGCATATCAATTACTTAAGGTTTGGCAAGTTTTAGTCATATTCCCCATGTTATGAGGAAATGATGAATCACTGTCAGCTATTGTAAAGAATCAGAAACAGGCAAATATTTTGGGCAGATTTTTTTGTGTAACGAAAAATATTTCAGTTTAACCACCCAGATAAGTGTCTAGACAATAATTCTGAACTAAGTATGCCTGTCAATGTTGAAATTAATCTTGAATGAAGCATACACAATTACTTTCTGTCATTAAACAAATTTAATTACAAAGAGAAGAAATATGAATGATACATTATCATACCATATGTAATTATATATTATGTTGTACATAGAAAGAAGTCAGTCATAGGATTAAGTGTAAACCTTCCAGTTGTTGTGGCTATGAAAATGGCAAGTGTGGCCCAAAAACATACCTAGCTAGGTATGATGGGACAGAGAGACAGGAACAAGACAGAAAAAACAGAGAAGGAAACATTCATGCCATTTTAAATAGCCCTATTACTTTTTTCTGGATTTTGTTTAGAACCATGGATACAATTCTGGTTATCTGTGTTCAGGACAGTGGATACACAGGAGAAGTTAGCTAGCACTAACATATCAGGGAAGGTGGCTATTTTCCAAGAGAAGGCATCTAGCATTTGCTTCATTTAGACAAACAATATGAGGTCCAGAGGTTTTATTATTCTTTATTATTCCTTTGAGGCCATGTGGAAGAGAAACTGTTTTCCTCCATGACAATTTTGGCACAAGAAAAATAGGTATGAGCTGCTCTGAATTTATTTCACCTGGGAGCTGTAAAGTGGGTTCCAATTATTAAAGCAGTGAGGCAACAGTCTTCTAGAGGAGTAGTAATGGGGCAGAAAATCTGGTTAGTTTTAAAGGTAGATCTTGATTACTTTATGAAAGAAACAATGGGAGACAGAGTTAAATGAGTGAGGTACTCAATCCACATCATGGCTTAGCACTTAAGATACTGAATATGTATATATACACACTTAGAGATGAAAAGCTGATTTACACAAAAAATTCACCTTGGAGCATGAATTTTACAGGTCTTAACAATTTGTCTGCATTTCTTTTCCTTCACAAAAAAAAAAAAAAGGAATGGTGCATGCCTGATTTGCAGTTTTGCTGTTTAGCTGCTCACAGGGTTCAGCAAGAACCATATGTGCCACATAAATCCTTAGATATGTGAAACTTAGTGGTAAATACACTTCTGTTGACAGATTAATGATGTTTATCCATAATTTCATCAGTCAGTACTTGCTTACTGAAGTTAGTTACTGCTGTTGTAACTTCAGAAAAATTATCAGGTATTTCTGAGATAGTTTGGGAAACATTTTGAACCTTATTGTGGCCTTTCAGTACTTAAAGGGGTCTTGTAAGAAAGGTGGGGACAGACTTTTTAGTAGGGCCTGTAGCAATAGGACAAGGGGTAATGGTTTTAAACTCAAAGAGGGTAGATTTAGGAAGAAATTTTTTACAATGAGGGTGGTGAAACACTGGATCAGGTTTCCCAGAGAGGTGGTAGAAGGCCCATCACTGGAAGCATTCAGGGTCAGGTTGGACGGGACTCTGAGCAACCTGATCTAGTTGAAGATGTGCTTGCTTATTGCAGGGGTTGGATTAGATGACATTTGAAGGTCCCTTCCAACCCAAACTATTCTATGTTATTTTACAATTCTTACTCCATGGGAATCAATGGAAAGTTTGCCATCTTTAACAATTTATTTTAAACAGCACTTGCATAGTTACGGACTTAGATAGTTACAAGTTAAAAACCTGAGTTTGTGTGTTTTTTTCTAAGTGAAAAGAACTTTCATGTAGATGAGAGTATCACGGTGTGAAGCTGAAGAAAGAAGTTTTCCACTAAAAGATACATGCTGATCACTCCTACATTTTGCTAAAATATTTTGAAGAAGCATTTGCTATCTGGGATCTTAAAGGGAGAATGGACAGATGAAGAATTTTAAGCTTTTCTTACCTGGTAGTGCTTTAAACAGTACAATAATAAAGAATTATCCAAAGTCAAGATACTTTGCCAGTGAAACAATTAACAGTTACTTTCCATGCTGTACACTCCTACCTGATAAATTAATTTTCACTACTTTAGGCAATGGTCTTTAGATTTTCTTTTTCTACTTTATGGTATCTTGCATTATGTAAGCTTTAGTCCAAAAACCAATTCAGCAGTGTGAGCTCGTAATTATCATCAATTATTATGTATGAGGTGGGTTTGCTCTCCCATATCTTACATTGCTTAATCTTTGACTTCCAAATGCTTTGTATGATTTTAAAATATGGCAAATACTAACATTCCCTAACATTTTCTAAGTACTGATGGGTTAGCTAGAAAAAACCTCCCTCTTCTACTCTGCAGCAGTACGGAGTAAGTACATACTTCTAGAAGTAACAGAGGGAAGAGGTTACTTCACAGTTGCAGTTGTGTTAAGGTGTTTATTTTTCTTTCTTGTAATGCTTTCTCTCTTTTCTCTCTCATCTTGTTTATTCAGTGCCCAAGTCCTCAACTAGACAATTTATTTCTTCTCATACAAACATCAAATAAAAATGAAATGAGTTTACTTTAGGTAATTTTTTGAAAAAAGGAGGTTGAAAGAGGATCATGCTTGTTAGCTTGTTAGCTTGTTAGCTTGTTAGCTAGTTGCTAACAAATAGCATGTAAAATTGCACAAATGGTTCATACAAATTAACTTTCTAGTAGAAATAAACCACTGTTACTCAGAGTTTCTTTATTGTTAGCAGTGTGGCAAAGCCACCTTTGTGTTGTCTAAATTTAAATACAGCATCTTATTGCTGAGTGGTGCCAGGACTGAATAAAAAAATGTAGGTTAATTGTGTACTTACTTTGAAGGAATAATACATTTTTGAAGGGATAAGTTTGCTTGATTTGCAGCTTGTACCCACAAAAATGCAGTAGCCCTGGGTGAAACCACTATGACTGTCTGCTGTGTAAAACCAGGAAGATTTTATAACAATTACTTTACTCCTATGAATTATCTTAAGTAAGATAAAACCCACTGTTACATCCTCAGGTGGATTAAATTGGCATAGTTCTGCAGCTACGCTGATTTATACCACCTGAAAATTTGAATCCATTACAGGTTAAGCCAAATATTTTTTAGCAATAATTTTCAAGTAAATTAAAATGCAGTTTTTTTGGCAAACACTGATATCTTGTTAAGGCAAAATTGTAGAAGGTAAGGTCCCCTTGGACTCTATGGCAAAATTCCCACTGATTTAAATTGAGCTAAGGATATATCCTCACATCCTAATGGTAACTTAATTTAAAGCATCTGAAATTGAAGGCTAATCTAATGTTTGTAAGAATGATCCAAGCCACCTGTATTGGTTAGATTGGGCTAGAAGTTAGATAATAATAATAATTCTCCCAATTAGATTGCTAGTCCTTCTTTTAAAGCCAAAACATTTTTCTGAGGTTACTTGTGGTTTTGATCCTACTCAGAATCTAGTTATTCCAAGATTATGAAAATGAACCCCAAAAGAAATCTGGAGAATGTCACATACTGAAGAAACAGAAGGGTTTTTTACTTTTCTCATAGTCAGAGTTTTCAAACATTCATATTTTGACCTTTTGTTCTTCTCTGTGTTACACAGTAAAATGCATGCCCTGTGATGAACCATCATCGTCTGTAAAGAGTCTTGAATTGTTTATTTTAGACTTTTGGATAATTGGTATATTAAACAGTAAGTCAGTTTTCTACACAAGCTGGTCAAGAGCATTTAAAAAGTATAGCATGAATACTAGTTAAGATAAACCTACAGTATGATGAAATGAGATATAGGTACTCCTGTATTTTCCTAAAGTCATGAGTGGTAATAGGTCAAATTTAGCCAAGCTGAAGAAATATCAGTTCCTGGAACTGTATTTTTTCAGACTGAGTCTATAGGTGAAGGTATTTTCAAGCATTATATGTATTCACTGGTTTTCAATACTCGGTAAAATATTTTTCAGCACACACCCTCAATAGATGTATATTTACTTATAAATTACACAGATGTACTACTGTACTAATATATTAAGTATATTGTAAAACATACCCATATATAGAAATTTTAAAAGGAGTAAATAAAGATTAAATAAACACTTAAAAATATTTATTAATAGCACAAAAATATTTTCTTTCTGCACTTCAGTTGACTGTCTTGTGCCCCCTTGGGGAATGTGCACCCCACTTCGGAGACCAGTGCCTTAGATAGTGGATAAGCTACCTGTTCATAAAGCTAGTCTTGACTTTGCTCTAAGCAACCTGGAAGAAAGGAATTTGGATATGTAAGAGAGCAAGACATGATAACATTTGAGACACTGCCAGAGCACTCAGCTGATTTGCCTCAAGGGCAAATCTTTCTCTTATTGAAAAAGTATGCATTGAATGCA